GCTGGCCAAAACCTCATCTTCCTCAGATCCTCACATCATGTTAGCCTGGTGGAATGTCTGGTACAATAGTCGTACGGGCTGTTCCAGTGGATAATAAGGAGCACGCCATGGTGGTGTCCAATCTTGATATTCTTGCCATGTATATTCATATTCGAGTCCAAAGGTCATGCCATGATAATTTCGTTGTATGGGTTTGGTGATCCCCTGAAGCTTTTTTCCAAGACCTTTGCCTGGTTTATATCCCGTCCATAGCAATATGCTTTCTATCTTCTTGCTCCACCATCGGTCCTTTTTAATTGCATTCACCCGTTCAATGCGGTGATATGTTTCTCCGCCCAACTTCCTCATGTTTTCGATAACTCGAACGGTTTGATTGGTATAGATAGGGTTGCTTCTATTTCTATGAATGATCACCTCCTGATGATTCTACTCAAACTTCACAGCCTAGTGCAGAGTTGAAGCCACTACCCTGATTGTATATACCCATGGTCGTCCCAATAATATATTTGTAAGTAGCAGATATATCTAGCACTTGGAACTCAACATTAAACCAAGTTGGACTCATCTATAGATCAAGGTTGATCTCTCCAATAGTGTCTCTCTGAGATCCATCGAACGCTCTCACATTCATGCTTACCATTCGTATCTCATGCAGGCATTTACGTAATCTCTTTAGCCTGGTCAGTGGGCATATGTTCAGACTTGAACCTCCATCTATCAAGACCCTAGAGATGAACTTGTCCTCGAATTGCACTGTGATGTACAATGCCCTATTGTGACTCAGTCCTTCTGGTGGTAACTCATCTTTATGGAAAGTGATTTTGTGGCTCTCCAGTACCTGTCCGACCATGTTAGCCATCTCTCCACTAGTGATGCTGACGGGTACATAATCTTCACGTAACACCTTCATCAAAGCATTCTTGTGCGCGTCTGAGTTTTGCATCAGTGATAAGATGGATATCTGAGCAGGATTCTTGTTCAGGTGGTCAACAACAGAGTACTCCCTAGCATGTATCTTCCTCCATAGATCATCAGTGCCAGTCTCAACAACAGGCGGCTTAGGTGCAGCTTCCTTGCTTGTTCCTCCCAGATTCTCAGGTGTGTAAACTCTGCCAGTTCTAGTCATACCTTGTGCGGCACCTATTTCTTCCATTTTGGCTTTTCCCTTTCTCCTTTCTTCTGCAACATAATCCCACGGGATGGAATCCGACTCGTAAGATGGTGTGGGATATACCATTACAGTAAAGGGCGTAGCTATCTCAACTTCAAATGGCGCATGGGTTTGTACCACAACTGGCATGAGGGTGACTGGAGATGTTTTAGGAGTGTCTCCCTCTCGAATGAGTCCAATGGACCCTTCCTGATCCCACTCTTCATCAGTTTCTATCACATTCACTCCCTCACCTCTGTGATCCGGGAGAGGGTTGTTGTGAACATTTGGTGCATCTTTCTTTGCTTGTATAACCTTAGTGTCGATCAACGTCTGAATCTTGTCTTTCAACGTGTGGCACTCCTCAATGATATGACCCTTCATGCCTGAATGATAAGCACATATTTTGTTGGGGTTGATCCATTCAGAGGGATTTTCCCCAACAACAGCAAGAATAGGGGTGACATAACCAGCGGCCTTCAGTCTCCCGCTATGGTTCCACAATTGGGGTATATTGTCTAGGTGGTCTGTGGTCGAAATTTGGACTTGGCTTTGGGTAGTTTTGGCGGGCGGGCGGGTGGAGATGAATGGTAATATGCAGGTTGAGTGTTGTAGGTATGGTTGGTGGTGGCAAGGTATTGGTATTTTGGTGGTGAGGGTTGATATATGGGTGGAGGTGTTTGGTATGCAAGGGGAGACTTAGGGCCCTGGGCTACCATCACGGCACCCACTTCTTTCTTTCTTGAGATACCTCTTGATTGCAAGGCTTTATTCGTGGTTTGCAGCGCCTCAAAATTAGTTACCATCCCGCTCTTGATTCCTTATTCTATTCTTTCCCCTAACATGATGTTGTCAGAGAACTTGTGATTTTCGATGACCATCAAACCTTTCGTAATACTGCGGATCTTGAGCCCTAACAAAGAACTTGTTCATTTGTTCTTCTTCAAGTGCTGGCCTTACCTTTGCAGCCTCTGATCTCCAACGAGTAGCATACTCGCGAAAGGTTTCTGACGGCTTCTTTGTGAGGTTTTGAATGTAGAAAACATCTGGCATATTTTCAGTCGTTGAACCTGAATCTATCCATGAAATTTGATGCTATATTCACCCAATTAACCCACTTCTTTGGATTTTGACTTATATACCAAGACAAAGCGTCTCCTGTAAGGCTTCGCTTAAATAGTTTCATGTGGATTTGTGCATTCTTACTCACTCATGCAAGCTTGTCACAGTATGTTCTCAAATACACCTTCGGATCACCAGTACCATTGAACATTTCGAACTTGGGAGGTTTGTAACCCTCCGGCAGTTCCACATCCCGCTTAATACACAGGTCCTCATAATTTATACCTTCAACGCCTTTCTCACCTTCAACACTATGGACTCTTCATGTTAGCTTGTTGAGTTCCTGTGCCATGTTTCTAATGAGCAGGTCCTTCTCAGTTGGTTCGAGTATGTATAGGGTTTGCTGCGGGGTATAGGGTAAGGTTTTCACATATATCGGATTACTTTGATGAGTTCCTGAAACTTGGGTATACGGGTGGTCGTTAGTCGAGTTTTGGGGATCGGGAGTAGGTTGTGTTGCATTTTGTGGAGTGTGATAAGTTGTGGTTTGTGGGTATTAAGTTGGATGATGGTGTTGTTGTTAGGGGGTTGGCACTGGTGGCAGGTTAAGGTTCTGGGGAGGTGCGGGATTATGATATTGGTGTTGTGCGGGAGGGTTCAGAACTATGGGTGGTTGATTTTGATTTTTTGTTTTTGTGGTGGTGTTTAGTTCTGGATAGTAGGATTTTGCTGGTTAATGTCGGGAATGTTGAGAGTAAGAGAGAGGTTTGCCAGATTTTGGACATGTTCAAGCTCGCCCTGTAATTCCAAGATTATCTGCTCTAAGCGTAAGACAAACTCATTCTGCCTCGGAGTGCTTTTACCATTTGAAGTTTCAACATTTTCTGCCATAGTAGTATTATCTTTTCGAATACCACTTAAATCATCCATTTTCCCTTTGTCCTTGCTTTTGCCTTTCGGGTCTCTAGGTGGAGGAGGAGGTGGAGGACCTCTAGATCTAGTGTGGTATATTGATGATGCCAGTATGCATGAACCAACCTTTCGGAATGGGAATAATCAGAAAGAAAGAAAAATAAAAGGTAACCAAGTCATTAAGGTGAAATAAAAGAGTGTTCGCAATATTTAAACATGTTTCACAAAGTCATGCAATAATTCGCATCCTAATTTGGGGACCTTATTTTGCCTGAGGTAGGCCTAAGCGACACATAGGCTTGGAGAAAATTGGTGCCAACATTTGCTTCATTTCATTAATGCCAAAATAAGCCAAAACCAAACTTTTACTAAATCGACAATAATATAATAAAGTTACTCATTGCATATAGCCTTATTATATCGAAATCTAATCTAAGCTAGAAAGCAGTAAAGAACATCATCTCCTAATCTACTTGGTCCCTGAAGGACCTTCTCCATGATTTGCACTTTTGACCCTATCAATCAGATTTCCCAGATGGCGCATATCCAACAGTAAGTAAGCTTTTGCCAGATTTTCTCCTTCATCGTCGTCCATGCCTTGACAATCCGAGAGTATCTTTCTCATCTTCTCTTCTAGCTCCATCAGTCCTGGTGTTCCAGGTATTCCAATTTTTCTATTGACTTAGTGGCAATCTCCTTCCATTTCCTTATGGCTTCCATGTTTACTTTGTATTGCTCCAGATGTTTAGCTTCAGACTCGAACACCCTTTTGCGTAGCCTTTTGTACTTCACATGTGCCTCAGCCACTTCATCTATGATCATATCCTTCAGGTTGACTCCTGGTTTGACGTCCCCAGCTACGTCGTCTTCCATCCATGATAGATAGTAGTACATATGACCGGCGTGATACATGTCTGGATCAATAGTTTCTCTTTCCATAATAATCTTTTAGTTCCACATATGCTACGCTTCAAACTTGAACGGGATGACATCTCCCTTGAAATATGCCTTGTACTGGACCATGTTGGAAACTCGAGGTATGACTTATTTTCTTCTTACTTGTCTCATTACCCTTATAGGAGCACAAGGGTAGATACCTCGCAGCCCGATCAGTACCAAATGAGTAGTCCTCCTTGACCTAATGATGAACTCACTACTAGGAAACCATTCAAACATCCAATCCACTTGCTCGTCTGTCAGATTACCAAAGAAACGTACCTAACTTACAGCATTTCCAGGATTTTCAAACTTTTTTGGAATAAACGTCATTTTCTTTGGGTGATGGTTGGCTATGTAGTCATTTAGAGGCCTTTGCAGAAGCTGTTGACGATACTCACCCATCTGAAAGTGTTCCAGCAGCCAGACTTATATTAATAGATTGACCCTCAAAGTGGCCGAACCCACACTTACACCGATCTAGAGCATGGTACATCTCAAGCTAATATCATTGGGATTATAGTATAAGTTTGTCCTTCGATACCATCCATTAAGGTCCTGGCGACCATGGCTAAGCAAGTATGAATTCTTCTCCCTTTTGTTGGAAAGATCAACAACCCCAGGAAGCAAACAATGAAAACATAAACCCGGGGATGTACCTATCCCAAAGAAGTAATGGCTAGTTCATAATGATGAAGACGATATGACTTGCTATGCCCATAACGCTCGTAAAGAAATCAAAAGGGATGTATGATTTCTTCAGACAGAGTAGTTCATCATTTTTCTTGAAACCCAATATTTTCAGAAAACTGCAGGGAGTGCAATTCTCTGGTACTAGCAGTCCCAGACTATCTCATGGTAACTTGGTGAAACCCCCTATTTCTTCTAGGAGAGGAGTCATTTCTATATCGCCGAACCGAAAAATAGCTCGTTTCTCATCCTAGAATATGGTAGCGGCCTCGGTCAATTCCCTATTTGGTTGAATATTCAGCAAAGATGGTAGGTCACCAAGTACTCTCTTCACATAATTCTTGTCACAAGGCTCAAGCTCTTTCCACCAGTCAAGTAGCAGAGGGAGGATATTCTGGACCATACCGAACCTGGAGATTTTGTGCTTCATTTTCTGCAGACAAACAAAGGTTAGCCATTTTCCCCTCCAGATTTGACTACTTACCCAATAATGATCAACAAGTTGGCACATTTTCTCCAAGTAATACACATAATATGATAGTGTCCATTGGGACTGTGGAAATCCCATCGGACGTTGGACTAGGCTCATCTTAGCGGGTTATTACGTTAATAACGCTTCAATCCGTACTAGATTTAGCATGATGCATGTACATTTCAAATTGGAGTAAGGTTTCTAGAAAGGTCTAGACTGGTACTCTCAAGTGGACGACTTGAGAGGGAAAGGCACGAGACCATCGACTACACTGCTGATCGACTAGTCTACCGCAAATAAGCATTTTCGATTTTAAAAGGGGTGATTTCAGGAAAGCATGGACACTCATCAAGCGCTGGTATGTTGATAATTGGCACGAGTGGAGTATGATGTGGAGCATGCTTTATGCAAAAATAATAACACATTGCCAAGTATTTGCATGATAAAAGTACGTAAAAGCATAAAATAGCAAAAGTGAGCATGAAGAGAAAAGAAAAGAAAGACAAAAGAGAGAAGTCAGTTTAGCTCATAAAAAATGTGCGAGAATGTAATGAAGCAGGTAGGGAAATAGGGATGGGAGAGTCATAATATAACGGTCTTGGACAAGATAAGGGGATGGAGAGAGGTCGTACATGCCATAGCAAATAATAGAGAGTAAGGGCAGGGATGTGCATGTCATAGCAAAATAAAGGTGAACAAGGAAAGGGAGGTGCATGTAATAGCGCTTTAAAAAAATAAAGGTGAATGGGGAAAGGGATGTGTATGAAATAGCAGTTTTAAGACAAAGAAAGTAATCCACATAAGTCAAGTTCATTATGGTAAGAGCCTAAGAATATCCCCAGCAGAGTCGCCATGTTGCCACTCCCCGTTTTCTCGCAAAAGCGGGTTTCATTGTGTGACAACTCTTTAAATGGGTATTAAAAGAGAAGAGTCACCACCTAACGATCTTTTAAGGTGCATTAGGGCACCTATTTACGAATAACTCTGTTTTAACTAGTCTGTGTCACCAAAGATCGGGTAAGGGTTCAACTTACCTCAAAGAGAAGGTGTTAGGCACTCTTCGAGGTCCACAATTGTGGGTCCCGACCGAACTTTAAACTATGTGGATTAGAGAATTAAGCTAGGTGATCAAATAAACAAAGAAAGATGTAGGAGTTGAAAACTCTAGTATAACATAAGAATTAACTATATGACTAATTGATACAAGTTTTAAGAAATCACAAGAAATACAATTGCATTGATCTATGACTAAATGTGTACAACAAGTATATAAAAGGATGGGGGGGACCTAAGTTTTTTAGCCTAAAGGATCACCCCGTTTAACATAAATAATACTTCGCAACTCCTTTAGAGTAGGGGTTTCTCATATTATTCAGCGGGCACAGACTATCATCTCTTGCTACCCAATTACTATGTTGAAGTTATTACTTAAAGGCGCTCTAATTCAATTCTAAATCGTATACTATGCGTGCACTACCCGTCCCATGCCTATGGTCCAGGATTCTTTGGACCTACTATTAGGTGATTCTAGACTTTACTTAGGTTGCTCAGAATGATAAAACTAGGCGACATTGAAAACAGATAGAACTGCACATAATAGCAATGAAAGGCTCAAGTTGACCTTCACACATAAGCTCAAAAGCACGCGATCAGATTTCTAGTTATGCGGTAGACAGAACTAAAGCGCATTAGAATCATTAAGTCTTATAGGCATGATCTCTATATGGTTCCAGTGTTATACAGGCGATGCTGCAGTTTCTGGACTAACGTATAGGTGAATTAAATCATTACAAGTCCTATAGGCATGATTTCTAATTTTTTTTTTACGTGATAAGGAAGTGAAAACAATCCCAGAACTCTAAATTACCAGTACTGATTTTTATAGATATGCATCTTAGGTAGGTGAAAATATCCTATAGGCATGATTTCTAATAGTTGTATAATAAGGCAGTGAAGTTGCTTGAAAACACAGGATTAGCAGTGTTGATAAACATGCTATAGGCAGAATTTCTAATAATTGACAATTAGACTTGATTTTATAACACTTTATCCCTATAGGCATGTCATCTAAGTGAGGTAGTACAAAGTAACAAAAAGTAGTTGATCAATCATTAAAACCTTATAGTCATGATATCTAGATTAACAAAGGCATGGCATTATTGTAACTTATAGGCATATTATCTAAAGCGTTGAGTAGTAGACCTGGAAACAGTGTAGCAATTACTTGAGTCGGCATATTTTGACAGGCTAAGTGAAGTGTGTGCGTGATTCTTATAGGCATGGTTCTTATTGGTGTGTATCATACACTAAACAAAACAACAAATAAGGCATGCTAGACGTAATAACAAATAGAACACAATGACCTATATGCATGTTTTCTACCCTTTCATGCTAGTATTAGAATACCCCAGCCCCTTTCATTAATCCTCCAATCATTCGTTGTTACAAATTATTACAGACAATATTGAATGATTACATGCCCAAATACGAATATAGAATAACCTAGTAACACATCTGGGCCTTCAAACAGGCTTGGAACTTCATATGGACTGCATGCCCAAACTCCAAAGGCGGACAATGCATTCCAGAATTCCAGTACCACAGCAGGTTCGACATACCAGGCCCAAACAAATGACTTACTTGCCCAAATGGATGCCAAATTCATCCATACAAGTGACAAACAGTTTATTGAATTTAACTAGACAGCTTAAACACTTAATTCTTAAAGCTATAGCTAACAATATCTCTAGTTAAGGCACACAAGATTCATATAAGGCAAGTTGAGGCTTGTAATTCCAGAGAGACAGTTTAAGAGCGAGGGGATTGACCACTACAGGATAATGAACCATTCCAAAGAGAGTTGCAAAGAAATAATGATCCAAAATTAACCTAAATGATGTTAGACATTAGAGTTAGGGCCTAGCAGAATCATGGATCAGAACAAATGAAATATTAGTCTTCACATAGAAATTCTAACACGGGAGCCTAGTGATGATACGAGCATGACAAATAGGCTAGTGGACATAGTCTATAATAGTGACAAGAAATCACCTAGTTGAACATGAGAAAACTTAACATGCTGAGCATCAGTCATAATACCAAAGTTCAGGGACATTACCAAGATTAACAGGATAGGTAGGCATCAAGACTTAGATCAATTAAACATAGAAGAAAAGGTTATGTACTGAAATATTAGGCAATATTTGAGGAACACAGACTTGAACACATCAGGGACATACATTATACTTTACAAGTAGCAAGAAAACATGTCATCCTGGTTCAAGAGTTTAGGCAACACTGACATTTGGAAATTACATGCATAGATCAACCATAAATAAGTTAACAAGTTGTACAGGAATGACTCAATAGGAAGCAATGCATTAGTACAAATTTTGGGCGTCAATTAATCTATCACAAGAATCTGAAACAAGCAGGGAGATAAACTCATGACAAGAAACAGGATAGTATTCAGCCATGCATAAATACATTAGGCTAAGCCGGCTTAAGACAGTCAGAGGCCATAGGCGTGCATCAAAATGTTAGAGCTTTAGGCAAGTTCTAATGCTAGGAAACACAAGGCTACAAGATAACTTCAAAGCAAAGGGGACTCTAAACAGAGACAATATAGTAGCATATTGGTTCATCGAAGTTTAAGCGATATAGATATACAGAGCATGAGCATAAGCACAAGAAAAAATGAAATTGCGAGAGTCAAAGGCACTTACCAGTTACAAATTAACGAACAAACAAATGAGAAGAACAATTTCCAACAACAATTCGATTAGCAGTAGCAAAGAACAGTAGAATACCCAAAGGCTCAGTGCGTCTGAGTTCCCAAGGGTTTCAAATGAACCCCGGGCAGTGCTCGCACTAAGAAACAACACAATCAAATTCGAATGGCCTTGGCTTTCAGCCGGCCAAGGTCTCAAGTTTTAGAGTATAATAAGTGAGAATGAGAAAGTAATGTAGTGATTGTAAAGTTCTGTCTTGGGAATCAGGGGAGGGGGTTTATATAGTGTTGAATCAGGCAAGCAAACAAGGAAAGAAATCAAGCAAACATAAACAAGAACGAGTAAAATATCACATGCAATCAGTAGAGTAACAGATTAGGATAGACATCAATCTCCAAACCCTCATTAGGGTTCAATACTCAAAAATCAGCCAACTGGTATAAAGAATGAGGGCTTCCTTCATGTATATGGACGAAATATAGTCCAAATCTCCAAGATTGAGGTCGATTCCAGCCTGATATAGAGATGGTACTTGCTAAAATTGGACAAGTACCTAAGTAATTCCATAAATGTATGACCAGTAGCGAAGAAACATATATGTGGTAAGCAAATAATGGTGAAATCCCATTATCAATGAGATTAGGGGAGGGAGTTAGGAAAGGCGGTTGCTAGGGTTTCTCAAGAGATGGGGGATTGAGAGTGTTTTGGGGCGGCCGTTTGAGGGGATATGGGTTAGGTTTTCAGGAGTTGGAGCAATTAAAAGTGAGGGAGAAGCTACGGATCGTTGATCTTTTAAGATCAACGGCCAGGATTGAACGAGAGGCGGGGCGGGTTGAGAATGGGTCTCGACCGGGTTAAAAATTAAATGGGTCATCTGGTTTGGGCTGAGGAAATTGTTCTTAGAGGTTTTGGACGTTTGGGCCATTAAATTGGTCTAGAATTGGCTCCAAATTAGGCTACAAATTAAATACACGAAAAATGATAAACAAAATATTTATAAAAAGTAATTAACAAATAATAAAAATATTGTTTTTGTAGTAAGATGCTTCAAAAATAATAATTTAATATTATAAAAGTTTAAAATGCTATTTGGGTACAAATAATATATTAAAATGTAACTATACACAGCATATAGGTTATTATTGCAAAATTATGTAAATAGCTTAAAAATACAAATATACTTATATAAAAATAAAGTAAAATATTTTGGAACATATATGTTGATGCAAGTAATAAATTTGGATAATTTAGTCATCACAAAATAATTTAAGGGGTAATTAATGCATGTTCAAGTAATTAAAATGCAAGAAAAATTAATTTTAAAGCTTTAAACAATTATAACAAAATTATAGAAAATACTTGTATAACTCTTGTAAATTAAGTAATGATGCAAAATGATATTTTGAAAGTATATATACTATTTGAAAAAATATGAGGGCAAAATTGGGTATCAACAATGAGTGCACCACATTCTGTACCCAGTAAGTATTAAGACTAAACTCGATGAAGTATTGACGACGTTCAAGTCAAATGATACTCACTAGTCAATAACTTGTGCAATATATCAATAACTGAAAATAAAACATGTAAGGAAAAATAATATCAACCATCTCGTAGAACATGTGATAACAACTCAATGTTGAAAAATCCATCTTTGTCAACAAATTATCAATAAGTGGGCGCATGTGATATCATGTCAAATTCAACCAATAAATCATTAAAAATACAAGATGAGTTTTAAGAAAAAAAAAATGCATATGATCAGAATATTAACCTAGCTGCAACACATAAACAACATCAAGAAAGACATCCCCAAATCATCACATAACATCATCACCACCCTTATTTCACCGTATGTGTACATAATAATAAAAGTCCCTCATTCTTTCGCCACATGCGAATATCACCACCCTTATTTTGCCACGTGGGAAACCCGAGAAAATAACACCCTTATTTCACCCATGCACACAACAATAATCACAATCGTACGACAAAGACCTCGTGCTGACACCCCAACCAATCTGCTCAACATGTCCTCATGTGCCACAATTATCACAGAATAATAATATCAAAGTTTCATCAAAGATATAAGCTCACAACATATCAATAAAGTGCACAAGAACATGACAATAACATGAAACAATACGAATGTGTGTTCAGCACATGAAGCATGACTATTGCTAAATCAATTATAGCGATCATGATTATGTAGTCACAAAGTGATTTAAGCATGTTTCATATAAAGTGCATTATCAAATTAAGTCATATTAACAGCCTAAGGTCTAATCCGTCTATAAGCCTCATATAGCACCCCGTGTACATGCTCATCACCTCGTGTATACGCCGCTTTTCACATAATACGAATAATCAATTAAGGCTAAATCCTAATGGGTATTCCCTTCCCCCCCCCCCCCAA